GATGGTGAAAGTACTAAAGTTCTAAAGATTTCATCTTGCTTGGATCAATTATCAACAGCCTAGGTATCAACAGTCAGCAAATTAGAAGACTAATGCTAAGTATATGGTCAGGAACCTCTCCAAAACACTGAAGAGCAATGATGTCACTTTGAAGACTAAGGTATGCCTGTTCCAGGCTGTGGTGTTCTCAGTCACCTCCTATACATCACAGAGCTGGACAACAAACAAGGATGGCATAAGAACTGATGTCTTTGAGCTGTGGTGCTGGAGAAGAGTATTGATATCCCATGGACTGCCAAAAGAACAAACAGATATGTCTTGGGAAAAATGCAGCCAGAGTGCTTCGTGGAGGCAAAGATGGTGAAGCTTCGTTTTTCATACTTTGGACATATAAGGTACAAATCAAAGTGGTTCTATTTTGCTGATCTTCTGACCCAAATATATGTTCCAGGAAACAGTAAACAATCTGACTAATGTTTACCACTGAACAAGAACACCTCAGAGAGTGCTGAAAAAATGGAAAATTGCTCTAGGCCCTTCAAACTGCTGTGACTACCCCCAACCTGCCGATGGAGAAGGGATAAATACCGTCTTCTTCTCTTTGTTCCAAGCTGATGCACACTGAGCCTCAGTCAGCTTTTTTTAAAATGAAACTTATTCGCTATACATTTGGCTAGTGTTGCTTCTGGACTTTGTAGTGAGTTTGGGCTTTTCAGACACGTAGCTTGTTATCGATAAGGGTCATCAGCTCATGTCGACTCACAGTGAGTTTATGAACAATAGATTTGAACCCTGTTGAGTTTTCAGAGGTTGTAAACTGCAAAGATGAATCATCTTTCTTGTGAGAAGCAGTTGGTGCATCCCAAGCACCTGTCTTTGGGTTGGCACTGCAATTCCTTACCAGTTAAAACACATAGCAATTGTTAGGTGTCGTCAAGTTGAACATGACTCATAGAGACCCTATGAACAAAGATGTGAACCCTGTCCTACCCTGGGCCGTCCTCATAGTCTCTGACATACTTGAGCCCATTGCTGCAGTCATTGTGTCAATGTGTCTAGTTGAAGGTATACCTCTTTTTCAACAAGCCTCTACTTTTCCAAGCACGATGTCCCTCTTCAGGGAATAGCCTACCAACATGCCCAAAATATGTGGCACAAAGCTTTATCATCTTTACCACCAAAAAGCACTCTGGTTGGACTTTATCCAAGACTTATCTTTTTATTGTTTTGGCAGGATTCAGCACTCTTGCCTAGCACCACAGCTCAAAAGCACCAAGTCAGGTAGTATATTCTAAATGTCATTCTGAAATCTGCTTATCTATCTTTTTGAATAGTCAGATAGAAAATGTTCTAGGGTCAAAATTTTATAGTCTGTAATTTTTAGGCACTGTTCACATTATGGTTGTTTATGTGAACCAACAAGGTATACTTTTAAAAATTGTTATATGATATATATCTAAAACAAAACACTATTTTTGAACATTTTTAACATGCACAATTCAGTAACCTTAATTACCTTCATCACATTTTCAACCATCATCATTTATCCATCCCCAAATTATATCGATATCCTTACCAGAAAGTTCAATGTTCTCTCAGATCTTCCCTCTTTAAAGAAACCTGTTTTAATGTAAGAAATGGGCTGAATAGAGACTTGTAAGTAATTAAGTCAGGACTGCAAAATTCATCACGATGGAGACGATTCAACCCATATTCCTCAAACTTCCGAGTTTTGCTTCTAGCTCTGAATTGACAATAAACGCCCTCAATGGCATTTTCCTTGACTGGTGCTCCTGGATTCCGCAGTAGTTCTGCCAAGCTAAGGCTGCACTTGAAGCAGGAGGGCAGAGCCGGAAAGGACAGAAGGGGGCAGAAGCAATAGCTGGAGTCACAACCCATTGTGAGAGGCTGCAGCTGCCAGCCTGCTTGCCCTTGAAGTCATTGATTGCCAGGTGTAAATCATCTGAGGGGGGATAATTAAACTCCAGCGCTTCAGGGAACAGCTGCTGGGATCCCGGCTTCTCTGGGGGTTGGGTGAGGAAGCCCACATCCCCGAAGTCCTGTGTGTTCATAAAAGGACTCAGTCTAGCTACAGCCCTCGGTGGTTGCTTAGTGGGCCTTGGGTGCTCAGTGATGACTATGCTTCTGACAATGACTCTGAAAGCACTGCTCTCTTCCTAAATCAAAACTCCTTCTTGTTCATGGGAATGTTTCCGAGGCCTTTCCCTGAGATTTGTGTGCCCTGGTGGTGTAGAAGGTAACGTATCAGACTGGCAAATGAAAGATCTGCACTTGGGATCTACCAGCCGCTCCATGGGAGAAAGATGGTGAGTTCCTTCTTGTAAAGATTTTCAGCCCTGGAAACCCAGTGAAGGGTTGCTATGAGTTGGAAGTGATTAGACAGCAGTGTGTTTTCTCAGCTCTTCTGTCACATGTGATTGTGGTTGGCTGTTTTTGAGTTAACCCAACTCCTGGAAACTCCATGCATGATGGATGCAAATGCACCAGGCCCTGCCTGTATCATCCCACAGGAGGGTATCCAACAAAGCCCTGGCGTGATCCACAGGGTAACTTTGGCTGATTTTAAGTAGAACACCAAGACTTTCTTCCTAGTCTCTTCCAATCTGAATGTTCCCTGAAACATGTTGGGCATTGTAATAACAATGCAACCAGCTGATAACTAAAAGGGTGGAGGTTGGAGACCACTCAGAGGTACCTTGAAAAGAAAGAAAGAGCAATCCTGTGCTGCTGCTGTTGTTGTTGTTGTCATGCTACCAAGTAAATTATAGTTTATGGGGCTCCTATGAACAACAGATCAAAATCTCACTTTCTCTATGCTGTGCTGTTCTCAGATCTCTACCACGCTCAACCTCGCTGTTGCAGTCGCTGGTCAATCTATCTCACGGAAGGTCTTCCTCTCTTTGGATAACTGTCTTTCCCAGCATGTCATTTTCCAAGGACTAACCCATCCTGACAACATGAACAAAGTGGTGAGATGAAGTTTTCACACACTTACCTCTAAGTAATACTCTTAATTTCACCTCCTCCAAGACAGATTTGTTTGATCTTTGCCAAAAGAAATTTGTTTCTTCTCTGCTAGTCCATCTGATGGATATTCAGTACTCTTTACCAATACCACATTTCAAAGATTTCATTATCCAACTTTCACATGCGTAAGAAGCAATTAGAAACATTAGGGACTCTAGCAGGTGCTTTTTAGTTTTTAAATGGACTTCCTTTCTGTTCAGCACTTTCAAGAAGTTCTTGACAACAGATTTGCCCAGTGCAAATTGTCTTTTGATTTCTTGACTGCTGCTACCATCACTGATTATGGATCCAAGTAAAATGTAATCATTGGAGCTTCCCTCTGGGAGTCCTTCAGCCCAGGTATTGGATATTGCTGGGCCAATTCTGATCCTGGGATAATCTGGACATGCTTACAAATTTTCCATAATCATGTCCTTCCTGACTCTGTTTGGCATTTAACATCTTCTTAAATTACCATAAGCAACTCCTTCAAGAATCTACTTTATGACAAGGAAGCTGTATTTTCCACAGTTACATTGACCATGTGATGAAAGACCCTAGAAAGACAATTTCCCCTCAAGGCTGATTAGATATATTCTCCTTTCTTTGGGAGCCTGTTTAGAGAGGCAGTTGGATTTCCTTGTCACCTTCTGTGGTGCTAATCCCATGGCTGAGCAGCTCCAGCAGTTCCATGGGGAAGTGGTCTCCTTCTGTGAGTCTTTACTGCCTCCAAAATCTCACCCAACTTGAGTCAAACCCAACTTGAAGACAGTGAGTGAGCATTTTCTGTGATAGTAAATTTCATGTGTCAGCCTATGTTGGCTTTGCTTCTCAGTGGCTTGGCCAACACTAGTCTAGTTGTTGCTACATGTGATTAAGTCAGTCTGTCCCAGGTAGAATATATTTTCTTCTATCGTGTAATGTCAGGGTAGGAATCCCCGAATGCCATAAATAGTTAAATGCTCAAATATAACCAAAAGGTTGTCAATTTGAAACTATCCAGATGTACCTAGGAAGAGAGGGCTGGTGATTGGCTTCTGAAAAATCCCAGCCATGAACACTGTATGTATTCTTCTTTTATTGTATTCTTTTGTTTGTTTTTCTTGTTGTGTATCTTTGAATCTAATCCAACTGGCACAGGAGGAGATTGCCCCACCTTCTCCAGTGGAACACCTAATGGATTCAAACCACGCACAACTAGGCCACCAGCTCCCTAGCAGTTGTATTCTGACACATATGGGACCACCCTGAATCACAATTAACTTCAGGGCCTGAGACTGGCTTATTTAAACATTAAGAAAAGAACAGACTAGACATAGACGCAGACACCTATACCGGGGAGGAAAGACGACAAGTCTGTCTGCAAAAAGGGAACACCAAGGGCCAACTAGAAACAGCAGATGTAGGAGAGAGGCTCCCAGAAGGAATCAACACAACAGAGACCCCAATTTTGATTTTCTGCCTCCAGAGCTGTGAGAAATTAAATGTCTACTCTATAAGTTCACCTATGCTGGAGAAGAGTATTGAGGGTACCATGGACTGCTAGGAAAAGCAGATTCATCCTGGAAAGGGTTAAACCAGGTGGCTCCCTGGAGGCAAGGATTCTGAGGCTTCATCTAACATACTTTGGACATGTTGTAAAGAGGGACAGGTCCTTGGAGAGGGACATCATGGTTGGTAGGGTGGAGGGACAGCACAGGAGAGGAAGACCCTCTATGAGGTAGATTGATTCAGTGACTGGGATAATCGGGATGGGTGTATCGGAGACAGTGCAATCGGCAAAGGACAGAGCAGAGTTTAGGGCTGTTTGTACATAGGGTGGCTATGAGTCGCAAGTGACTCGATGGCACATAACAACAACAACAACAGCATGTAGTATTTCTGTAATAGTAGCGCTAGACAGTAAGGCACCACCCTATGGGACACTCCCATACCATCACCCTGGTACCAATAAGAGAATAATAGACACTCACCTGGGTCCTCTCCGGGTTTCAGGAAAGGTATGTCTCAGAGGGAAAGGTTTGCTGTTCTCGGGCTCAGGGGGCAAGGGCTGGTACTTCTTAGGAAGAGTGATGAGAGGCCTGTGTGAAGAACCGCCAGGGATCTGAGAGAGTTGGCTACATGGACAGACACTGGATCGGAATCTGCACTCACAGCCATTGCCTTGGCAACCAGCTTCTGTTTGAGGACTTCATTTTAGAATGTTCACTACCTCACAAAGAGCATGGACCGGTAGCTTCAGATGTTAGAATATTTATTCTAATGAGTCTGCGCTCATCTTCCTACAACTTGCTCATTGATATGCTACTATCCTCCAGAGGGTATAATATACATTTCTTTAGGGTGTCATGTATTTCTAATTACATCACCCTTTCTAGTTTCAGGAGACTGGGGTGGGGGTGGGGGGAAATGTCTCAGCCATCTTCCACTTGACTTAAACTGGAAACCGTGAGGGTTTAAAACTCTCCAAAGAAATATAATGGTTAAAAATGAAGAAATTTCCTACTTACTCATTTATTCATAGGGAGCTCTGGTGACTTAGTGGTAAGGAATTGCCCTGTCAATGCAAAGGTACATGGTTCAAATCTACCAGCTGCTCTGGGAGAGAAAGAAGAGTGTTCTCTCTTAAAATTCACTACCACTGGGAACCTGCCGGAAGGTTAGCTATGGGTCAGTTCCAACTTAATGGCACACAGCAACAACATTTATTAATCCATTTACTTATTTATTCATAAATGCCACTTTGCACCAAGACTGTGGCTGATGCTGGAGATGTTGGAGAGAAAATGGGATAGTCCTTGGCTCAAGGTATTTCCATCCAAGATAGTGGAGAGAGAAGGAAGGAGATCACTCCCATGGCATATTCATGAGAGGGGGTACTCATGATGTACATGAGAGATGGCATCAAAGCATGCGAAGAGACTCATAGGGTTGCGCTGACTTGGGTCTTCAGCTGTCAAGCCCAATGCTCTCACTCACTTCTATCTATCCACCCATCCATCTCTAGATGCATTTATTTAAGTAGGCGTTCCCCTTCACTCATTGCTGCAGAGTTAGAACTGACGCCTAGCTGATCCTCCAGCAGCTTTTCAGAGGTTGTAAATCACAAGGGAGGAACAGATAGTGGATTCAAATACCAGAGAGGCACCACTTTATCTATTTATTTATCTAAGCAGAAGTGGCATCCACTTCCTAAACAACATGCCTCTGGAAATTCTCTGAACTTTGATAAATGTCGATGGTTGTAGAGGGGCTTCAGGCCTTTAGTTCACAGGGTTGCTATGAGTCATGCTCAACTCCATGGCAATCAACATCCATCTATCTATCTATCTATCTATCTATCTATCTATCTATCTATCTATCTATCATCTATCTATATCAATCATCTATTTACCTATTTATCTATATACCTATCTATCCATCCATCTCTTCATCTTCTTGTCTAAGTAGGAGTCCCTGGATGTTGCAAACAGTCAATACACTAAGCTGCTGACCAAGATGGTGGGGGTTCAATTCTGCTCAGGAACCCTGAAGGAAGATCTAGCTATCTACTCCAAATGAGAGCCCTGGTGGCCTAGTGGTTAAGGAGTTACATTGCCAACTCAAAGGCAAGTGGTTCAAACCTTCCAGCTGCTCCACAAGAGAAAATGGGAAGTCTCCTCCCATGAGATTGACAACCTCTGAAAACTCATTGAAGGGTCAGTTATGACTAAATTTTGACTTGACAACGATGAACTGCTGTTTGTTTATCTACTAAAACAAATCAGTCATTGCAGATTTTGTGGGAGACATTCTATACTACACACATGGAATTGCTGTGGTTTTTTTTACTAACCAGTGACACACAGAGTTAATCCTCAACCGTTCATCCCTCTCCAAGTATACTTATTTACTAAAATAATGTTTTCTTGAAACTCTCCACCTGCAAAGAGTCACCCCGAGGAAATGACACAAGAGCTCTCAGTGGAGATAAAACAAGCTCGGTGTGGCATTTGATGATTCAGTACTGGTGGCCTTAATGAACGTTGTTCTAACGGTTAGTTAAGTTAGCGTTTGCTCCAACTTGTGGTCACCTTATGTATGACAGAACAAAGTACTGCTACAAACAAGGAAAAGTAGTTGTATAAATAACTTTATATTTTACATATATATGTTTTTATATATGTATATACTTACTTTTGCATGGGGAATGATGAGTGTGTTCTTTAGTTTTCATTAGGGTCTCATGTAATTTTCCTGATTTTATCTCCACAAGACTTTGTTGTTGTTACAAACCATTGAGTCAGAACTAATAGCCGCTTTCAGAAGCAGTAAATTGCATGTGAGGAGGTTGCCCATCTTTCTCCCGAGGAACAGCTAGTAGATTTGAATCACGTGTCCTTGGGTTGGCAGTATAACTCCTTACCACCCAGCACCTGGACTTTGTTGTTGTTGTCGGGCACCTTTGAGTCAAGTATGACTCAGCGATCCTCTGAACAACAGATCTGAACCATGTCCTAGCTCGTGTCTTCATAATCTCTGACACACTTGAGCCCTTTGCTCCAGTCACTCTAAATCCATTTCACTGAAGGTCTTCTCTTTTGCTGATCTTCCACATTTCCAAACATGATGTCCCTTTCCAACGAGAGGCCTCTCCTAGCAACATGCCCAAAGTATGTGAAATGAAGCTTTGTCATCCTCACCTCCAAGGAGCATTCTGGCTGCACTTTGTCCACGATGTATTTTTCTTACATTTTTTTTCCTTGTTTGTTCTTTTGGTAATCCATATACTCTTTTCTAGCACCACTACTCAAAGACATCAATTCTTCTTCTGCCATCCTTATTCATTATCCAGCTCTCAGATGCATAACAAATAATTGAAGGGACCATGGCCTGAATCAGGTTCACCTTAGTCTCCAAAGTAACATCATTGTCCCTCCTCCCTTTGGAGAGGCCTGTAAAAGAGGACTTACTCAATGCAATATGTCTCCTGGGCCTCTGACTGCTAGCACCAAGGTATTGATTGTGGATCCAAGGAAGATGAAATTGTTGACAATTTCAATCTTTTCTCTATCATGATTTTGCTTATTAGCCCAATAGTGGAGATTTTTGTCCTCTTGGTGTTGAGATGCAGTCCATTTTGAAGGCTATCGTCTTTGATCTTCTGTAGCAAGTGTTTCAAGTTCTCTTCACTTTCAGCAAGCAAGGTTGTGCTATCGATCGATCAAAGTATTTTTTTCCTAGGACAGTTCCGACCAAGAAGGTCAGTATCTACATGACACAGGTTGTTGATGAGTCTTCCTCAGATCCTAATGCCACATTCTTCCAAGTGAAAAGATATGAACATGGATATGGAGAAAAGATACAACCCTATGTACCCCTGTCATGACTGCTCTGTTTACACAACAGCACATTTGGAAGTCTGACTGCAAACGTATTACAAACACACGGTGAATTTTCTGCTCCTTTTCTTTGTTTGCACATCAGCCTCTTGGTCCAGGTCTAAGTTTCATATGAGCATAATTTCAGTGCTCTGGGATTCTTATACATCTCAATGTTACCATAGGTTTTTTATGATCTACACAATCAAATGCCATTGTATAGTCAATAAAACACAGGTAGACATTCTTCTGGTTTTCTCTGCTTTCAATCAGGATACATCTGATACCAGCAATGATATCTCTGGTGGCATGGCCTCTTCTAAAACTAGCTTAGACTTCTGGAAGTTCTCGGTCAATGTACTGTTCTAGGCAGTTTTGGATGATCTTCAACAAAATTTTGCTTCCATATAATATTCCACATTCTGTTGGAGAACCTTTCATGGGAATGAGAAAATATGGATCTCTTCTAGTCAGTTGGCCAAGCAGCTGTCCTCCAAATTTCCTGGCATAGAATGGTGAGCACATCCAAGTCTGTATCTGATGTTTTAAAATGTTAATCAGTAATCCATCAATTTATAGGGCCTTATCTTTTGCCAACGTCTTCAATACATTTGCACTTCTTCTTCATTGTCATTGGCTCTTGTTCATATGGTAGTTGTTGTTGTTATGTGTCATTGAGTTGCTTGTAACTCATAACGACCCTATGTACAAGAGCCCTAAAACCTGCTCTATCCTGTACAAACCTTATTGTCTCTGACACACCTGTCCCCATTGCCCCAGTGACTGAATCAATCCATCTCATTGAGGGTCTTCCTACTTCCTGAAATTTTTCAGTGTCAACTAATATATAGCACAGTAACTCTGTGTATTCCTTCCATCTTCTTTTGAAGATGTTTCCAAGAAGCAATGAAGCCTTGAAGCAGACATCATCCTATACACACCCAGACCTTGAAGCAAAAGACATCCCAGAGGCAACAAAGCATTGAAGTGGACATCTCTGATATAAGGAGGCCTTGAAACATATCCTAGACACAACTAATGAGGCCTTGAAGCAGGCATCCTGGACACAACCAGGCCTTACTTGAGGGGAAGTATATTTTTGTGGTCTTTAGAAAGACGAACAAACAGAGCCATAGAGTTTGTTTAGATGGCCCAGACTCATGTTACCAATAGAACAGGGTGAGATTGAAGTTTTGGGGTCCAATGTTCTCCCACAGTCTCCTTGTCTTGAAGAGGTTTTAAGCTTACATTTAAAAAAGTCTCAGTTTGTGTTCCTCTCAAGGGTCGCATTTAAGAAGAGGATTGGGGTATCCTTCACTCCATTGAGAGGTGATCCCTGGAATTGCTGTGAGGAAATGGAGAAATGAGACTTGCTGAGAGGCCACCATGGTCGAGTTAATGAGTAGATTTCCTGTGAGGTCACCTGTAGCTTGAGTCAGACGATGATGTCTGTAGAGATTGTAGTGTCTTCCTCAGAACAGTCCATTGAGAGGGAGGAGTGGGGTGTTGATATATAAGTCTTTATTCTTCACTGATCAGAGGACAATCCTGGGGTATCCACATGCTGGCGCTTGGTCTTGTGACCTTCTGTGGTCAGTGAAGTCCCCCAGAAGAGAAGGGTGAGACCAGGGTCATTCCTGAAGTGGCAACTCAAGGGAAATGTTGAGATGGTAGTGACTGCATCACAGGTGTTCAGAGTTGCTCATGACAGGTCTCTGGCTGGTATTTCTGACAGATTTGGTCCTAGAAAGTCTTGATGGATCTTCATCTATCATGACCATTGTTCTTAAGGGAGATATATGTACCCAATAGACCAGAAGCCTGAGCTATTGAGAGTCCTATGAAGTGTTATATATAGGAAGCAATCAATTTGTACATTAAACCATTTCCAGTGAATTGATCCCAACTCAGAGTGACAAAGCAGAACCCAGCAGAACCAAGGGATAGGAAGAAATGAATGAAGAACTAGTTAACAAAGAACAAATGAAATCTAATGAATAGATGATGGTTGAAGGAATGAGTGATTAAATGAATAAATAAAGGCTTGTTTAATCTTGCTTCCTGACCAACTGGATAATTCTTTTTTAATATCAAATATGTCTTTCTCTTTATAGAATGCTACAGTAAGCCATTTATGTATTTAGCCAAATGGAATACTTCTTTAACTGTCTTACCGAGGAGGTGGTAAAGGAGTCTGCAAAAAAGAAAGAACCAGAAATTTAATTTATTGATCTTCGAATAAGACCAATACTTAATAATTTTAGAGTTTATAAACAGAGATGATAAATCTCAACCAAATTTCTAGAGCATAATTCTAAAGTGCTGTTTAAGCTCTCACATTGTCCATATTTCAATTTTTCTAAAGTAAAATGTACTATTAAATACTTTCACTTACTTTGATTCCTTTTATGTGTTTTTCACCTAAAGAAAAAAAAAAAGAGCATTAGTGAATTTGTAGAAAATATCAACTGCTGCTTGTACATATGTTAAATAGAAATCATCCTTAATTTAGTAACATTTGTTATAACAACAATTAACATTTGTTGACATCATATGAGGTTCTCAGTACTCTGCTGCGTACTTATGTGAATTCATTCATTATTATTGTTGTTTTGTTAATGAAGAAATTAAGGCAAGGGGAAATTAAAAATTTCACCTATAGGAATAAATGGCAAAAGGAAGATTTCATTGCATATGATGTTACCCTGGAGGTCTCTCTTAACCACCATTTTCTGATTAGAATGAAAATTCTTTTGTATCTAGTAATCTCATTAGTTTCAATTCCTGCCTAACAAAACACTTTAATTAGACATTTTTCAAGAAAAGGAAAATAGTATCTCTGGATGTTCCCTTTGAAGGGTCTTTGAAGACGTCGGGGTACAACTACTTTATTTTACAGATGGTGAAACTAAGTAAGGTAATTGCCCAAGATCATCCAACCCTAGAAAGAGGCTAAGCAGGGCCTAAAATAGAGTTGTTGACTTACAGAGAGATTCTGTCTTCCACTTCCTTTCAAACAAAATTACAGAACTTCTCTTCTGTGCTATGTAATTGTTCACTTCCATGAAGTGCTCCTGATTTACAGCGACCCCATGCACAGCAGCAACCCCATGCAGACTGTGATCAAGAGGATATTTATTGGGTCATCACCAGGAGTAGATCTCCAGGCCTTTTATCCAAGTTTATCTTAGACTGGATGATATATAGGTAAACACTATCGTGTGCCTGATCCAAGCTCTGGTATTTTCATTTGCTTCCCATGCTTCTGAAGGTTGGACAATGGAAAAAGAAAAAGAATAGAAGCCTTTGAATTGAAGTATTGGAAAAGAGTACTGAGTATCTCATAGAATACCAGAAGAACAAACAACTGTATCTTGGAGAAAGTACAACCAGGGTGTTCCTTAGAGGCAAGGATGGTGAAACTTCTGCTCAAATACTTGGGGCATGTTGTTCGGAGGGTTCAGTCCTTGTAAAAAGACATGATGCTGGGAAAGGTGGAGGGTCAGCTTAAAAGAAGAAGACCCTCAATCAGTCAAGAAGATTGGTGCTGTGGTTGTAATAATCAATAGCCTGAAACATCTCAGAGATAGTGAGAATTTTGCAGGATAGGGCATGATTTAGATCTGTTATCCAGAAGGTCTCTGTAAGTTATAATCCATGTACTAATTCCTCTTTTTTGTTTTCAATGTTTGAATTCTAATCACCAGTAATTATCCAGAAAAAATCTTGATTTTTCTTTTTTTTTTTTTAAGAATCATGATTTTATGTTTGATCAATTTGAGATTACAGATGTTGGTAATATTCTTTGGTTGTTAATTTTTGCCAATGGTTAACATGTAAATTTGAATAATAATAAAAGAAACTGGCTCTTTCTTAAATTTTTTTTCATTTCTGCACATTTTCTTCCTCCTTCCCCTTCTCCCCACAATGCACCCTTGTTCCAGATCATTGTCATACATATAATGCCGATACATATATTCCTTTCAGATAGTTCTTCCCCTCCTCTGATCTAATGAAATGTTTATTATCTATCTACTCTTTCCCCATTATCTCCCTGACCCCTCCCATGTCTGTCCTATTTTATAACAGTGGTGTTATGCAGTATTTGTCCTGTGGCTGAGATATTTCAGTCAGCAAATGCTCTCCAAGCTCCCTCATGTCATGTAAAGTTTTGTGAGTTTATTGTTTTTCAGTACTGCATAAAACTCTATTGTGTGAATGTACCATAGTGTTTCTATCCATTCATTTGTTGATAGTCACTTAGGTTACTTCCTTCTCTTTGCTATTTTGGATAATGCAACAATAAATGTGGGTGTACATATATCTGTTTGAGTTATGGCTCTGCTTTCGTTAGGGTATATGCCCACTAGTAGAATTGCTGAGTCTTACGGTATGACTGTTTCCAACTTTTTGAGAAATTGCTAGACTGCCTTGCATAGTAGCTGCACTATTTAATATTCCCACCAGCAGTGAATAAGAGTTCCGATCTCTCCACAACCTTGCCAGCATTTGTTGTTTGCTATCCTGTTGAACTTTGTTCTTGTTGCTGGGGTGAGATGATATCTTATAGTTATTTTGGTAACCGGCTCTTATAAACAACAACTCATTGCTGTAGCATCAGAACAGACTCATAGCTTGACCTGCCAGTGGGTTTTCAGAAGCTGTAAATCACACATAAGGAGATTGTTCATCTTTCTCCCACAGAGCAGTAGGTGAATTTGAACTTCCTACTTTTGGGTTGGCAGTGTAACTGCTTACCCACTAGGAATGTAGATACCATTTCCCTTAAGGAAAAGAACAGATAAATGATAACAGATAGGAAGATAATAGATAAAAGACTGTCTTCCTTATAGGACTTTGGATATTACCAACTTAATATTTGAAATGTTAGTTTTGATAATGACTGTGATTCCATTTCTTTTCAATTTGCTATTCCCAGTTTAGTAGATGATATGATTGTCCAATGAAAAATGGGCAATACTAGCTCATTCTGGCAACTGAAAGAAATGAAAAACAAATTCAAGTCTCAAGTCACAATATTGAAGGATGCTATAGGCAAAGTCTTGAATGATCCTGGGAGGATCAAAAGAAGATGGGGTGAAGGGAGCTCTGGTGGCCTAATGGCAAGAAGACACACTGCAATCCCAGAGGTGCACAGTTCAAATCCACCATATGCTCTGCTGGAGAAGTAGGAACAATTTGTACCAGTCAGATCCAATTTGATGGTACATACACAAAAAATAATAAACTTTATAATAATTTCTTTTTCTAAAAAAAAAAGATGGAGTGAATACCAAAAAGATTGGCTAATAGGGGAGTAGCATATGACCAGAAACTAATGGAAATGAAGGAAGAAGTTTAAACTGCACTGAAAGTGTTTGGGGGAAAAATAAGGCCCCATAATTGATAAGATATCAATTATGTGTTTAAAAAACAGAAGCAGCCCTGGATATGCTCACACGTTTATGCCAATAAATTTGGAAGACAGCTATCTGGCCAGTTGACTGGAAGAGAATCATATTTGTTTCCATTCTCCAAAAAAGTGATCCAATAGAATGTGGAAATTATTTAACACTGACATTAATATATCATAAAAGTAAAATCTTACCGAAAATTATTAAAAAAATGGCTGGAACAGTACATCAATAGAAAACTGCCAGAAATTCAAAGTGGGTTTAGAAGAGGCTGCAACACCAGGAATATCATTGCTGATGTTAGATGAATCTTAACTAAAAGCAAAGAATACCAGAAGGATGTCTATTTGTGTTTTATTGACTATATAAAAATATTTGATTGGGTGGATCATAACAAATTAGCTAATATTGAGAAGAACGGGATTCCAGAACACTTAATTGTGCTCATTAAAATCTATTCTTTGTCCAAGAAACTATGATGGTAACAGAGCAAGGGAGTACTGTATGGTTTAAAGTCAAGAAAGATGAACATCAGGGCTGTATACTTTCTCCATATTTATTCAGTCTTCATGCTGAGCTAATCATTCAAGAGGCTGGACTTTATAATGAAAAGAGTAGCATCAGATTTGGAGGAAGACACATAAATAACTTGCATTATGCAAATGATGCAACGTTGGCTGCCTGAAGCAGAGAAGACTTGAAACTCTATGACAGAAGACCCAAGACAACAGCCTTTAATATCGATTACATCTCAATATTAAGAAGATAAAATTTTTACCAGTGGGCTTACAGAAAACATCATGATAGATGGCGAGAAGATTGAAGTCACCAATGATTTAATCATGCTTGGATTCACAATCAACACCCTATCACTAGGAGTTAAGAAATCAAAAGATGTATTGCATTGCAAAAATTGCTTCCAAGGATTTCTCCAAGGTGTTAAACAGCAGTCACATCAATTTAAAGACTGAGGTACATTCTGATTCAAGCAATGGTCTTTTCAATTATTTGTTATGCATTTAAAAATTCGACAATAGTCAAGAGGACAGGAAAAGAATTGATGCCTTTTAGTTATGGTTTTGAAGAAGAGTACTGAATACCCCATGAACAGCCAAAAAAGACCAAAAACAAAACAAAAAAAAACCCCAACCCCCAAAACAAACAATTATGTCTTGGATAAAGTATACCCAGAGTGCTCCTTGGAGGCAAGAATCGTGACGTTTTGGACATGTTATTGGGTGGGGGAGTGCTGGTCCTTGGAAAAGGACATCGTGCTTGACAAGGTGGAGGTTCAGCAATAGAGAGGAAGATCCTCGATGAGACGGACTGACACAGGGCCTGTAGCTATCAGCCAAAGTGTATTGGAGATGGTGATGATAGCATGGAATAGTTCAGATCCTTTGCTCATAAGAGTCGCTGTGAATGATAGTTGACTGGTTAGCACATATTAACAACAACAATGCCTGGAATAGCAATCTCCAAGTGTACTTTATTTCTGTCAACTTCCAACTTTCCTTGATTATATTTTATAAATACTATGCTCTGAAAATTAATGGATGCTTGAAGCTGTTTCTTCTCATTTTAAATCATGTGTCAGCAAAAGATCATCCTGAAAGCTTTACTCTGTCCACATCACTAAGTTTGACCTTACTTTGAGGAGCTCTTCCTACTTTGAGCACCTTCCAACCTGAAGGCTCTTCTGTCATTTTACCAGGCAATGCTCTGCTGTTATTTGTAAGGTTTTCAGAGATCAATTTTTTTCAGAAGCAGATTTCCACGTCCTCCTTCAATCTTTCTTAGTGTGGAAGCTCTGTTTAAATCTGTTCATCACGGGCACCCTGATCGTATTTGGAACACCCATAGTTTAGCTTCTGGCATCACAGTAACATATAAGCCATCACAGTGTGACAAACTGACTGACTTTTCAAAAAAATAGCCAACAAAAACCTTTTGGATCACAATAGAAAGGCTGTCCGTATTGTAATTTGAGTTCTTAGGTTGTGTCAA